TGGCATTAGAATATTAATTAACATATGTTAAATGACCTTCTAGGTCATTTGCTCCTCGAAATGACCCAATGACTAGTTATTTGTCATTTGGGTCATTTGGGTCATTTCAGATCATTTACCATCACTGGATCGTACTGGTCCTGCGCGGCACCGCGTGCTGCGCAGCTATCTTATTTTATATAACGACCTTTTTTTTCTTCCAGAACCTTCAGTTCGTTATAGAAAGAGTTAATTGTGCTTTCCGGTTGTAATAAATATTATGTTTATTGAGTTTATTCGAAATAAACAAAATTGCTAATCGTTATTATTTGTTAGTCTATAAATTTTTTCGTTTGTATTTTTTGTTCAAGTTACATGAATTTTTGGTGCGCGATTAGGTTGTCCAGGATTATGATTGCGCATAATTTGCTCACTTTCATGCATCATGTGAACAAAAATTGATTGGTTAAATGAATAAACCGGTGACTGTGATCACCTGACTTGTTCTTTTTGAAATTTTATTGGCTAATAACTCAAAATTCGCATAATTCGCATAATTTGCAATTTACCGGGACACCCTATGCGCGATACATTTGTCACGTGATGTTCTAACTTTTTTGGTGGCAATTTTACCCCGGTCGGCTTTTTCTTGGCAGCACTCATATACTTAATCATAGATTCGCTAAGTTTAAAAGATCACTTTTATGTAAACTCGTTTTGCAATAGTTTTTAAACGAAAAAATTTTTTGATAATTCTCAATATGATTTGGCGAATACTAATTTTCTAAATTAAATCAAATGCATATTAATATAGTACAATTTGAGAACTTTGGCGTTTATAAATATAAGAAATAACTTTCTTGAACTGATAAATGAAACTTTAATGGCGTGATGAAAGTTTTATGTTAGATAAATTCGTGAATAAAAAATAATACTAATAAGTTAATAAGTGAAACAAAGAAAATAATAAATAGAACAAAAAAAAAAAAAATAGAATATACAAATAATTCTTTTAAATCTTTCGATCATGAACTTTCAAATCGGTTTATTTTCTAAGAATAATTCATTCTTATTCTTAATTGTAGTATTTATTTTAATTAAGTCATGTAACTTGAAAGTTAATGCTGCTGCGTCATCGTATCGTGAAATAAATGAAAGAGCAGAAATTGATAAAGTTACAAAGTTCGTGGATCCATTGATTGGTACCCAGAATGGTATAATATCTCATTATTTAATTTTTGCCTTATTATAAACGTTATCCCTCTTAACGTTAATATCTATAAACATTGTGCGAAAAGGGGGTCATGTATTTCCAAATCCATGTCTTCCTTATGGAGTTGTAAAAGTAGGATTCGATACTGATAACCTAAAAGATAATCAAGCAGGGTAACGTAATGAACTATTAGTGAACGAATTGTTATACGTATTATTTTTTTTATTCTGGACTCTTGCCTTTGTTGAAATAGGTATACTGTTGATGGAAATATTACAGGAATAAGTCGTAAGCCTTTGTGTAGAATTGATAAAATTAATCAATGATTTCAATAATGTACTAATAACTTAATATTCTAAAAAAAATAGATTTACATGTCAGTGGGACAGGAGGTAAAATAATAATAATAATATTTTTGTTATAAACTTAACATATTCACTACTTTAATTTCCGCAGTTTTACTTTATTTGATTCTCATAACCTATTCCTTAACCCATTCTGTTCATTCTGTTAATTAAAAAAGGTGAACCAAAGTATGGTGTAATTTCTCAATTTCCATTAACCTCCACTTCATTGTATACGATCCCTCTTCGTAACTACAAATCTTTACGTTCATTCGAACATTTCGAAGTTGGATACTCTAAATTTGGATTAGAAAAATATAATGTTATTGTTGAATTAACTGCTGCTAGAAGAACCGGGGTTCATAGATATACTT